CCTTTTGTGACACGAATTAACAACTTGTTGCATTCAGTATAAAATGGAGTCGAGTTTGCAACTTTCAAGAGCTTTATTTGACGTCTGTATCGACGGCGCAGCAGATAGTACAGAAGGAAGCAAGCGAAGGGCGGTGCATTCGAACGTAGGACTTGTAGAGAACATGAGCTTGACTTCCCCATCTAAATAGACTCACCTTTCTCCTTTTCCCTTCTGTACTATCTGCTGTGTTATCTGTGCAGACGTCAAATAAAGCTCTTGAAAGTCGCAAATTCGAACCCATTTTTGCGCTGAGTGCAGAATTAGAGGCAAAGGGGAGCCACAATAAGACAATCATTTTCAAGTTCACCGCTTTTAATTCACACCCTACCGCCGACCTATAGAGCATGTTTGAGTAACTCGCGATGCCTTACCGACGTCAAGCAGGGAATCACGCATAATTTTCGTTTATTTTGCAGAACCCTGCGATGTCTGTGATAAGCTGAGTTCCTATTCGCCTGAAAATGAAAGTGAAAAATAGTACCAGACTTACAGTATTAGGGTGTTTTCCAGTGCATAACACAAAATCATTTCAGATTTATCCTAGTCTCGGTGGAAAATCCTAGCGTAGAGCAAATGCATTTATTCATACTTGAATGAGTTTTGGGGAACTTTTTTGCACAATATAACGCAATCGGTTCTCTTCAAGGTTGGTCATTTTCTTGGTCATGTTGATCCGCCGCTGATGGAATCTCTTCTGGAAAATTCGGTTTACAGCAGGTATGTTTCCATCACAGTCTGCATGAATTGTGCGTATTTTCCATTTTATAGCTTATTAGCACATAAATGACCCTAATTAAATATATTTCTGTCAAAATACACCGGCGACGTACAACTGCGAACGTGATTTCTTGTATTACCACATTTGAAGTAGAGAAGAAGCTGTATTATTCTTATTATTATGGACCTCTCGGTGGTTACACACCACTGTCGTCGCCTTAACCTCTGTTGGAATGGGTTAACTGGGACCACCACTTTTGTACTTGAAGTAATCATTGTTGTAGTTTATTTGCGATTGTATTATGCGTTCACATCATCCATTTCCGTCACTTTGATGGACTAATCTGGCTTCAACCTCTCGACACCATATTAGTCCTGGCCTCCTTGCAGCGCCTCTCTGATTCAATCTATGTAGTACTAATTTGGACGCTGTTATATCCACGGAAGTTCCTTTTACCTGTTGTGTATTCACTCCACATTGTCTGCTGTTTTGTCTCTGCTTACTTTAGAGTGAGGTACTATGATTATCAAGCTGTCTGCGATTCCGCCCACCTCGGTGAAAAGAACTCCACTTCACCGGCAACTCATTTGTTGCCTGTAAGGGGGATTTGCCTTTGGCGTTTAACCTACTCGCCTAAATTATTTACATTGTTTTTTTACTACAGGACTTGGTCAGGGGCTTTTGCCAGCTCTTTTCTCCCCGCTCCTGGTTGTTAGCGCTTCAAAAGGCCTCAGTTGTCATCATCAAATTAACCAAGTGAGCAGATACGCGTTATTTGTCCCTTTCCTTAGGCTGAATGCTAATTAATGTCACTGCTTTACATTTTAGTGTTTTTATGGTCTTTTTGCAAATGCTTGTCAGTAAGTTGATTTGAAAATATGATGGTACTGTACTTAACTCCTTTTTGTTTACCCCTGTTGCTTGGTTGGAGAAGTTTTGAAACATTTCCTCTTATTTTGCTTTTCACAATCGCCTACTACATGGTTATGCAACATTTATCTCTGCTGTAATCTCATACCAGTCGTTCCTACTGCAAATATCTATCCATAACCTCACGTTGCAGATGCCTTTGCTCTGGATCAGGGCGTTGACTACGTAAATTGTGTAAAATCAACATATCGTTACTACGCAACTGATGGTGCCAACTTCAAAAAGGATCCTTTTAGTTCGGTGGAGGTTGTTGGAAACTTTACCTGCTCACCTTTGTGCACCCGTCAGTGGTCGTCGTCGTCGATACCCGAGACCAATCTGAAGCTCATTAAAACCGACCCCATATGTGCGTGTTTCAAAAAGGACTACGATTGGCAGCTCACTCCCTCCATAGGTACGGTTGATTGACAACAGTCATAAAGCTTGTAACTAATCATTGTAGCATTCTCAACAATCCAACCCTCCATCTTGGCTCAGTAAATGAGAAATGGAAACTTATTTTGTCGTCCTAGCTTTAGAGATGAAGGAAAGTTTTTTTTGCGAATCCTGTTTGGGTGCATTTTGGTATTGTCGAGGTAAATCTCACGCCACCTTTTGTATGCCTAAAGTAGTATGCATACATCGTCCCTTTTTAGCCTTGTGGACCTTCAACGGTTTTTTTTAGTAAAAAGAATAGATTGAGCCTCTGCTTGGGAGTTAGAGTGTATGTGCAAAAGGCCATCAATGCCACTGCATTTGCATGAATTTGGTACCAAATTTCAAGGCTTGGCAGTCACAAACTACTTATCAGATTGTAAGCTACTCAAAGTAAATGTGACTGCGAAATTGAACGAGGGCAGAAAGCCTTCCTGATAGTGATCTTGTGTACCACTTAGCCAAGATCTGTACAAGAAGGTAAAATTTTGGCTCAGGAAGGCTCATTATTGTTTCAATCCTGTGTTGCTTCCTCTGCTTAAATGATACGCATAGGCGAATGTACACTGCTGTTTTGACAGTCATCTTCCGCAGACTTATGTATCTCTCAGGTCCTTCACCCTTGCATTTCATCAATTACTGGGTGATAAAGGAATAGCTAAGCAGATAAAACTTTGGAAAAGCCTTTTTATCCACTGCCGTAGCAGCGGCTTGATTTCTTTCCAGACGCGTCAGTTAAAAGAGGCAATACCAGTGCTAACATCGAATCAAATTGACTGTATTCTTCCTTAGAATGCAAATGTTTGATTAAAAGGTCATGCGTGCAACGGAATGATACATTTGTCGTCCATGACTTCTGGTTTCAGACGAGTTAAGGCCTAAACACACGCTCTTATAATGCATAAGATCTGGTTTAGATGGGCGGATAGGCGAGAATTACGTTTGTCATCGTCTAATCCTCCCTCTTCGTGGTTTTTTCAGCTGAAGACATTTCAATTTGCCAATCAGCTCAAGCTCCGCGATATCGACGTCCAATCACAGCGTGTATGACGTGAACCTACTTGTTCCTCCGAGCTTGCATTCTAGTCTTTCAGATGCTTGCAGGTGCTACACATTGTTCATTACTGGTATCACTAGTTTTGGTGCAAATAAAGTATCGGATTATTTGAGTTGAAGCTTTTACCGCATCAGAAGCTATAGATGGGTCAATGGAATGGGAGATGTGACGATTTTAATCTTTCAATAAGCGCTGTAATGAGTAGAGATATGTGAAAGCCCCAATACGCTCTCAAAACTCTTCCTTCTCGCTAATTTCCTTTTCTTCACTGCTAGCATTAAACATTGCTTCGCTTCTAATGGAGCTAGGCTAGTGGCGATAGGATTTTTCAGCAGGCGAACAAATCCTATTTGCAAGAATCTGGCGGTTTCCAGACATGCTAATGTACTTTATTTCTATTGTATCAAGTGTGTTCGATATCTGATACGTGGATGGAGGTGCCATCTCACCCACAAGTAAGCCATCATAAGCTGGGTAGGTAATGGGGATTCTGTAGTTATCGCGGCGGGCCTGAGTTCACAGGTCTTTGCACTGGGTGAGCATGGAGCAGTGTCGTGTTGTCTTTGAAATAATGGTTACTCATTAAGTTCTAAGTAGGTCGTGCTTAAACGGTAGGGACTTCTGTGGTTTGAGTTTTAAATTTATTCACAGTTAAGCTTTTTATTCACAAAACAGCGTCAATTCTTAATCTTTGATACACGGTGAGAGTTCACCCATGATGAAAAGTGAAGGAAAAGAAACCGTTGAATCTGCATATTTTGTTAAAATTATGTACATTTCTTTTTTTCCATTTGATATCAGAAAAGGATAGATATAGGCAGAATAAGTTTCTTAGCGAAGCAAAAGGGCAATTTCGATGTGTGTGTGCGAATAGTTGTATTTTTTGTGATTAGTGAAGTGCATGACGCGTGCAGTTTAGGAGCAGTAAAAAGTTATACTTTTGGTTACTTCGGGGTGCATTTGGCCATTAGGATCATTTGGTTTCTCTTCCATCAAACATCACGCGTTCTTGGAGGCGGTGGTGGTGGCTGCGGATGCTGCAAAAACTGCGGTAACTGGAAAGGCGGTCCTGCCGACGCAGTTGAATTAAATGGTGGTGGAGGTGGTGGCATGTGAATTCCACCAGGATAGGGCATATCAAACCGTCTGGAGGGATCAAATGTCCCCGAAACTACTGATTGAGGCGGCTGTAACTTCGATGGCTCAAAGGAGTTGATCACTGAGAGCTGAGAATTATTAGTAGAAGTTGCAAAGTCGGTGTTCACCGAGTCCTTTCCATCTGAATGTTGACCGGGACTTTTGCTAGGATCCATCTTCATGGGGGAGGTAAAGTGAAAGGGCGGTGGAGCACCAGGGTAAGCCCCACCGCCACTTCCGCCACCAGCACTATTATAAGATGGCTGCAGATTGTTGGGGTGCTGTGATGGAGCACCTGAGTCCAAACTTGAAACAGTACTAGGGCATCCACTGCGGGAACCTCCGCCTCCATCGCCAGCTCCACCACCATGTCCTTCTTCCGCTCCACTGTTATCATGTTTGCTGTTTGCGCTATTTAGGTTCGGTGCCCGAGCTTGCAGTTTCTTGCTTTTCATTCTCCGATTCTGGAACCATACCTTTACCTAAATGTGCAGGCCTTTTAGTAGACTTCGATTGTATTTTAATGGAATCACGGAGTCTTAAAACAAGTACCAGCTAGCAAGTAATTTTTATTTCAAAATGAAAAGAAACTCTAAGTTAACAAAATAGCACGACCAATTAAGCAATTAATTTTCTTGTATGCAATTACAAAATTCCGTTCTTTAATAATCCAAACCGACCATTGCTAATGTATTTTGACAGCCAACCTTTGCTATCTATGCTCAAAGTATCAAATTCTTTGCCCTCGCCTAATGATAAATTCTATCTCATTAGATTGAGGTGAAGCTTAAGTTAAGTTGGATTGTACCTTACTGAATTTCGGTGAGTCGCCATAGCTTTAGCAGATTGCTATAAGGTCACAAATTACCAATTTGAACAAAAATACAGTTTTAAACAAAATGCTGAACAGATTTGGCTTCTACTATTAGTGAGCCGACACAGCAACTACTGAGTTTTACTGCATTCCTACTCAAGACTGCTGTCAATGAAGCGCGTTGAGCTAATCAAAACGGCTAAGGCTGCTAACACAGCCTTGAAACCCACCAGAGGGGAAATGAACTCTGTAGGTACTAAGGTAAGGAGAAATGATACCAAAGTTCAAACAGTTTATCACACCAATGTGGTTTTTCCGAAGCATTTTTGCATTGAATGAAATTGGAAAGGGTTTCGTTTTAATGTATTCCTTTTATTAGAACTAAATCAATTTATTTATTAAATATAAATTAAATAAGTTTAAACGAATAGCGGTCTATAACCACCAACCTGGCGCTCTGTTAGGTGAAGTTTGCAAGATATCTCCCATCGTTTCTGACGAGTGATGTACGTAGCTACGAGGTATTCGTTCTCAAGTACCATTGTTTGATACCTTGTGTACGGTTTCCTCTTTTTCCTTCCACGAGGTGCATCTCAAGACACAAATTAGGGATCGTTAATTTGTCGTTCTATAAACAACGTTTCAACCAAAATGGATTTGTTTATGGCAACTCACCATCCTCATCCCCATTATTTGGCATCATTGAAGATGGCATAAAGCATGATGGTGGACCTAGTCGGTTAGTGACATCCGAAGAGGTTGGAATTGGAGGCATCGGTCCAGACCCATTCCCCAGGGCCAAGGCCGCAGCAGCAGCAGCCGCCTGAACGCTGTTTGCAATCCTCGGGCTCTGGAAGAGGCCTGGTGGGGTTGGCGCTCCATGGGATTGTGGTGGGTTCGGTTGGGGCCCAAAGTACTGTTGATGCGAGGATGGTGGTGGTGGCGGTGGTGGTGGTGGCTGGTGAGATGGAGGTGGAGGCAGCACTGGAGACATCATGCCTGCGGCATGGGGATGTTGCAAGCCGTTCGAGGGCGTCTGGAAGAGACTTCGGGGTGGAGGTGGTAAACGACCAGGTGTTCCACTTGTTAAAGTATCTAAAAATCCTTCAGATGGATGCTGCTGTCCCAGCAAAGATTGGTCACCAACGCCTTTAAATAAGGAAAGTGAGATGGATTTGTGCAAATTCTCTTTTAACCATAAAATAGTCCCTATAATTGAGACGCCAGTCTGTTAATAAATGAATGTTTAAGCGATTGCAACTGGGCTAACATTTGATTACCGCTTTGCGTTAGCACATAAATGCTGCTTTGATGAATAAATACGCAAGCTTGTCTAAAATATTGCCAGTCGCGTCTCACCGACTTTCATTGATTTGACTGTGACCTGTTCAAAAGGTCAGTTCACAAAGTGCTATAAGCCCAGAATGGCACCTTTTATGAGGCACCGCTAACACAGAGGATTTTACACTGTGAAAGGTTGGAATCCAATTTCTTGTGAGAGTAAGAACATCTCACGGTCGTGGCTAAGCTGACATTTGAGTACCAAAGCCGTTAATAAAAAAAACGTCCCTAAAGCCTCCATTTTCAAACCTATTTTGGGTACTGTAAAAAATGAAATCAAGGTAAAGCTTTTAAGCGGTACTCCCTTTTAAGAGCCTCCGACATCAAATGTTTAAACTCGTCCATTTGTATCATTTACAATTCATGCCCACATCAGAAGAATTTTTTTATGGTTTTAAGATTATGCAGAAAACAAACGTCACTATTTTTACGCAAACGGGGGATTGACTTTGACTTCTGCATATTTCACTGAGGTACATATCAGGTTTCTGGTCCATTGCTGTAAACAAAGTGTTATTGTGTGTGAAGGCGTCATGAAATTGACCTCAGTTCTACTTTAATTAACCAGGCTTACTTTTGACTTGTTCATGAGCTTTCGTTGATTCACAATAAAAGTCCAAACCTACCCACGAAACCTGGAATACTGGGGTTGTCGTATCTGGACATTTCCCCAATCCTCCCAGAGCCTCCAACGCTAGCCTGTCTCAGTGTGTTCATTGTTGCTGCTGCTCCGGCTGAAACAGAGGTTGACGCTGGTACTCCAGCGATTTCTCTCAATAATGCTCCCAACGATTTGGAGTCACCAAGGGTTTGCTCTCCTTCAGCAGAACTACGAGGGGGAAGGTTTCCAGTAGAACTGAATGGAGGGCTCCTGAGTCGACCCGCGGACTGAGGAGGTGAGGGAGCCTCTGTGTTAAAGGGTCGGTAGAGGGGACGATGTTGTGCGGCCAATGCAGCTGCTGCTTGCAGGGATGGTGAGTTGGCAAACTCACTGTTTGTCACACAGCCATTACCAACGAATCCGGACAGATCAGAAAGAAAGTCAGACTGCGGTGCAGGCTTTCGGAAAGGCATTTCAGTGGCAGCTTTGGAAGACTGCTGCATGAGTTGCTGCAATGGGTAAGCAGAGGGAATGCGAGAAAACGAAGAAATGGAATAATCAGTTGCACCGCTGTGATAGTCTGACTCGGATGGTATCGGCTGTGGTGTTGATTGAGGGGGTTGACTGGAGGGCTGGGAAAAAACACTGGACTGGCTGTTGATCATACCAGACGATGTGTATGGATTGCGAAGATCAAACGTGTTTTGTATGCTGGCCATTTTGACTAAATGAAAATTTAAAAAAGAACGGTTATGATTTTCTCTGACAAGACCTAAAATCTAATATGGCTGAAGTTTCAAGCGTCCTACAGTCTAGCTAAGGCAACATGTTTTCCTTAATTTCCATAAGGAAAACTCCCTCTGGAGAATGAAGTAAAGGTGCACATTTTGGCCGAAGTGGGGAGTTAAAACGCGTTTGATTATTGTTATTGTTATTATAACTATCATAAATTGTTTTAAATTTAATGCGAGTGTGGGCATTCAACTATGCCAAATTCATTTCGCTAGATTTTAAAGGGCCAGCGTTGCAAGAGTTGATTTTTATTTTGGAGAGGAGAAATTAAAACCACCACAAGATCTTTACCAAAGCCATGCAATTCCGGTGTAATATGCTTGATGCGGAGTGGTTTGAGGTAAGTTGTGGCCCCACCAAACTTGAACCACTAAATGCTAGTCCACTTTCTGTCCACCCTAAGATTGATTGTCTTCTCGTATCAAGTGCAAATGTAATCTGTCCCACTGGCCTTGATTATTACCAAGCCCTCCTCTCCATTCATCATGACCGTCCATATTTTAGTCAGGCTTGACAGTTCCCTCGAGTAGTCGCCTCAATTTGCTCTTCACCAGTGCTTTTTACGTGGATAAGGAAAGGTTTTGGAGGATCCTGCAGAGAATCACTACTGTGAGGTTTTTAAGGGGCTTTGGATGGACAATGAAGCATGCACAATTTTCTCACGGTGTGGTCAAGGACTTTTGTCCGCATGTCAAAAGAGTCCCGCCATTGTTTCATGGGGGAGAAGCAAATGGTTAATGAAAAGGTAGTCTAAATGTTAGGCAACACACTTCTGATAAGGAAAATTTTCCCAAGGGAACTCTCAAAACAGTGCCCTTTTGAATTAGGACATAGTTGGATTTGTTGACAAATGAGTATACTTTGATTGCACAAATATTATGTTGTCGTAAGTTAAAAAAAGCAATTCCTCTTGACACGAACAAATATAAAAATTAAGTGCATTAAGGAGGTTAAAGTCTTAGGAGAAAATCACCTACTAAGGCTGGAGTCGGTTTCTAACCTTGTGATTTGTAGGACAAAGCTCTGAATGAATCCAGAATACTAAAATACACATCTTAACCACACAAAATCGAATTCACAAAGTTTTAGAAATAAATCCTCCTTAACTTAGCCATACTTGAGCCTTAAGCCCCTACTAAATGTGTCTGAGAGCAGAGGGTAACAGAGAGAGGCACCTCCATCACATTAGTTAATGCATTCATCACTGAGCACAAACCTACACTGGCAAAAGGAGTTTGGTAACAGTAAATAAAACTATGAAAACCAGCAACCTCACCACACAAATTCGCATACATACACAAATGCACCCGTCGATCAGAGGACTAGAACAGTGAGACATTGTCAATCAACTTTTGGTGGTCAACACAGCTTGACTTTCACTACCTGTCCGTCAAGTATCAACACTCTAAACAGGTTGTGCTTGTATACACTATTAAACACCAATCAGCTTGGTCATCTTACAAAAAAAAAGGATGAGCTCCTCTCAAGCCTCCTGGCGTTATATGAAAATTTGGCAGCTTTAGTGCAGGTGATCAAGTTTAGGCTACTCCTAGGACCTCTCAAAGCACCCAAGGTGCTGGTGAAAACGCACTCCAAATAGTATGTAATTTTACCCAAAACACGATCACCTCCACTACTGCCGAGAAGGCAGAGGCAGTGATCACAATATTTAGGGAAATTAGCGAAAAGTAATCTAATTTTCTTAAAACTAATTTTAATCTTGCATAGAGCATGAACTTTATTACCACTTACTACTTTATTCGCACAAAATGTGTTAAGCCGAAGGGCAAAAGCTGACGATGTCCCAAACCAAGGGGTGTGGCTAAACTAAAATTAAAAGTTTTTCAAATGCAAGTGTTAATGGTGACCTTGGCAGGAGGCACACTGCTGCCTAAATCTTGT